TCACTTATCCAATGTCCAAGCTCGTGTAAACGTTGTAGGACTATTACCATTTCATTGGCAGATCTATGAGGATTATTGTTTAATCATCAGATTTTCTATAGGAAAGTAAAGGATGGCTCTTCCAAATTTTGTCATAGTTTCGCAAGCAAAACTTAGCCCTAATCCTACATAACGGACAATTGTTGAAGTAAACATCAATCATGTATATTACTTCTACTTATTATTGTTATCGATTGATTATATTTAACACAGACGAGGATTCATAAATGTTGCTTTTGTACTTGATATATGCTATTGATGCAATATTATTGTTAGGTGTGTCAGACCCAACAAATAAAAGGGGTACAATAGACTCCAAATACAGTGCTTTAATGCACTAAAAAGTAGTACAAGGCAAGCAGGGTCGAACCACAGAGACACGGGACAAAAGTCTATACCTTTTTTTGCACAAGGTACTTTGGTCACAAAGAGGGGTTTGTTTGCAAAAGTAAATAACTAAATAACAATCTACTTTAAAAGCATGCGCAAAATGAAATAGATTTGTAAACAAATTGATTGAATGGTTCTAGTTCTAGTTCTCAATGTTGTTGTTCAACTTGATTATGACTTGATGTAATTCAAGATTGCTATTCTATGTTGGTACTGAAAGATATTAACACGCTCTAATAACTCTCGCTTGCCAAATTATCTAACCAAAACACGCTCTTTGATTAGACCTAGCTTTACTAATTCAACCTAAACACGCTCTTAGATTGTATTGAAAAACTGCATTAAGTTTTGTACAAGCTTCCTAACAATGTTCATTTCTTCTCATACGCTCGGAAGTGTGAAAACATGTGATATATGTTTTACAATAAGAAAACTTATTGCTTGTTACCAATTATTAACTCAATAGAACGATTAGGTGCCCTAAAAGTTAATTAACTGCACAAAAATTCAATTCATGAAAGTGGCCAATCAAACACAAATCAAATTCAAGGATTCTAGTTAAACAAAAACATAATCACTAGAATAGAATCACAAATCAAACATCAAATCATATGCTTCAAGTCAAGCAATCAACATTTTTTGAACAAGAACTAGAAACTAGGGTTTCTTAGCCACACATGGCTAAGAACAAATCAAACAAGAATAAGATGGAATTGGAATGTTTAATCCTTACAAAAGTGAAATCTAAATGTTTGCAATGATTAAGTCTTCTCAAAAGCTCCAAGAATTCTCCCAAAATTGGCCTAGATCACCAATAACTGCTCCCAAAACTGTTCTGTCCTTCCAAATGACGTCTCCTCCTCTTTTATTAAAGTTCACGTGACTTGCCACAAGGCCATGCGTTTTTAGCATGGCCATGCCTTTTGCCCATGTGTTTTTCTTTGGCATGGCCATTTGTCTTGACCATGTGTTTTTGGCATGGCCCATGCTTTTTGCTAAAATTCCAAAACGTCTTCACTGTTGGCTCCATCTTCATGTTTTCTACCATGGAATGACCGGTTCATCTTCTCTTCATGTTCTAAAGCTCAACGCTCCATGCTCCATAATGCCTGCAAAATAAATCAAAAAATAGTGAAGTACCAGGCATTCTTAATGAAATATGTAATTGTCCTAATAATCAACTAAATGCAAGAATTATGAAGTAGAATGCTATAAAAAGACGAAAATAAACATGCAAAATAGGTGCATAAAATGCACCTATCAATTATCTATTTGGTTCCTCTAATCGAAAATCATAAATCGGTTTATAGAATATGGATGAAATATTTCAAAATATTGCATAGGTGTTCCATGTTTAATTTCAGATGATTGATTGATTAATTTGTGCTCAACTAACATAATATAACTACTATTTCAAGTTTAGTTATTTTTTAGTTTATTTATTATTCATACTTATGATAATATTATTTTCTTTTCAGTACCCTGTATTCTCCTTAGCATTTAGCGAGGATGTTGCATATCATTGTAGATAGAAATTATGATATAGCTATGAAGCATGTTTATAGTATACAGTTTAAAAGTTTAATAGATAAAAATTAGTCATGCCATGATCCAGTTTTGAGTAGTATCTAATTCAAATCTTTATAGCTAAGTTAGTGGTTTTAGATATAACAGTTTCATTCAAATTACATCCTCACACATTAGTTACCCATTTAGTAGTGGGTAGAATCCTCACACATCAGTTACCCATTTAGCTAAGTTGTAGTACAACTTCCTCCATTTTTGAGGTAAGAATGATTCTTAGAGATTTTTCATATGTTACTATTAGCATTCCTATTTTCTTATGAATTCAATTGTTATAATTGATTACATGGCATGATTAAAGGAATGTATCAAGACAATTACACTTGTAGATTATCATGAAAATGGTCAAGTCTTTTATATTGGGTACCACATGATTTGCAAAAGAAGCAAGTTTATGGAGCTATTTTTATGCTTATAATCCTTTATAGAAAATGTGAGTAAGTACCTTATATATGGGTCACATCCAGTTACATTTATGTTTCTTTAATTAGCTACTCAACCATTTTATTATGCTATGTCATTGGCCATTTTACATTGGTTTTCATAGGCTTTTGGCACATGAACTTCCGATTAATCGATTTGGGTCCTGAAATGAAATATTCCTAGTATGTTGGATTTTTACTTCCATCCTTTTAACTCGATTTGGAACTGGAGGGGTTCATGGCCATTTTTCTGTTTCAATATAATCTTTGTTAGTAAGGTGCCACACTTTTAAAAACTATCAAAATTATAGCATTGTATTTTTATTTGGTTTTTAATATGAAGTTGTATTTTAAAAAACCTATCAACTTATAATAATGAAACTCACATTGTATTTTGATGGCATTGCTATAATGGTTAAAAAAAATTAAATTAAAATGTGCAATAGAAAAAAGTGAAATTAGGTTGGTATAATAAATAAATAGATGAAAATGTATTAACTTATATCATTTCCTCTTTTACTTTTTATAACTTTATACTTTGAAACATTTCTAGGATTGCATTTTAGTTTTTTTTTTCACATAATGAAATTGTACTTTAAAACGCATATAATTATAACATTGTACTTTCATTTTTTTCTTATCAAGATATTATCCTTTGAAACGTTTACCCAATTAGATGGACATTTTATCTTATTGAGGATGTCATTTGTACGATATTTTGCATGGCTTGAGATCATTACATATTTCTATGATAGAAAACTAGTTGTGCATGAAGTTTTCATCTTTATTGATTGTTCAATGTTGTAATGATTTGGATCTTTTCAAGTTTTTGGCAAAGATGAATGTTTTCTTGATTGATGTATTTCTTATTGTAACATGTTATCATATTGATGCTTTGAAATATAACATTTTGTAAATAAGAGTAGTCTTTTTCTATTGAGACTGAAGAATAAATAGACCCAAACAAAGGCAATTACTTTATAATAGAAGAATATTGTTTTCTATTGAAATCTTCTACTAGTGTGAAAGGAATACGCCTAAACAAACATATGGAGGATTACATGGCCTTGAGACAACGTCAACATTCTAGGATTACTGGAGAGAAGAGAAAATTGATGCTTAATTATGTGGCAACGTGGTGAGAAAGACCATATCCAATAACTTCACTTTATCATATGAAGACAACGACATCACATGACATCCTACTCAGCTTAATTGTGACCTGTAGACTACATATATTCCAATGGTGATTGTCTAAGTGGTAAAACCTTATGTAAACAAAATATTGTTAAATGCGAGACAATACGCTTATTCAAAAAATAACAATCGATGATATTAATACTGAATAAATAAAATTGATAAAATATTATATAAGAATAATTAATATACTTTTTACAATTTGATATTTTTTGTATTTTGAATGTTTCAAATATTATTTTTTAATAATATATATGTTACTGAATATACATTTAACTAGGGAAGAATCCTCGTTTTAAGGGATTTGATACACAAAAGAAATGGACAAAATGGGAAAAATTAATTGAATTATATTGAACTTATTACATTAAACCTATTTACTAGTCCTAGTAAATATATATAATAAGTAATTATCAAGAAAGTTTATCAAAATCATATGCCAGTGAATATATAATATATTTTACATAACTCATTGATTTATATTTTGAAATAAAGTTCAGAAATTAACAATCATTTACATAAAGTTAAACAATTTAAATCCATAAAAACTAGATTTAGTAGAAAATAAATATTATATGAATTAAAAAAATAATGCATATCTACAATAATATCGAAGCCAAATCTTCAAAACCCAAGTTTAGTATTACTACCTTGGATATGGTTGATGATACGGATGACCTAGTGGAGGTGGGGTCTAATGGGTTGGGGCAACAGCTGGATGGCAATTATATGAATGTGGGTTTAGGTTTAGCTCATTTTCCTGACCCAATTGAGGACGATTATGAATGGGTTGTGTATATGTATTTTCTAAAGGTGTGGTTAAAGAGTTGTTAATCCATCCATTAATATTATTTGTGGTAGGTATCCTCTGTGGTTCAGGTGCACCATTAGGTGTTGTAGGGTATCGTGCACTGATTGGACGAAACAATGACAAAAGTGCCCTCACCTACAATTTTACGAAAATACCCCAAATGGGTATTATACAAGTTTTGGGAAATTTTGGGAGAATGGAAGGAAGAAATTGTGTTTACCTGTTGACTATTAAGTTATGGTGCAAACATTGATCCTTGATAATTTTCTTTAATGGCATGTCTGAATGTACTAAAGGGGAGTGGAAGAGATTCGTTGTAAATCTTGAATCTTACATACAAAGACAGAATTTTAGATTATGATTCTTTTATATAAAATTATAAACAAAAGATATTACATGTGTTGGAAACACTCCACCAAACGTAGCAGATTCCAAGTTCATTCCCCCTTTGGATTTTACCTCATAGACACCATAAAGAAGCTTCACATTAGTATTAAAAATAAAAATCTTGGTACCTAGTTTGATCTTTTCAAAAACTACAAGACCACCATTTTCTTTCATTTCAAGAAATATGTAATCTCATCTGCAAGACAACCATTTTCTTTCAGTTCAAGAAACAACATATTTACTTTATCAAGTTCACCCATTTTCAAGAATCCATCAATCATTATGTTATATGTACGAACATTAGGTTTTAAGCCTCTAGCAGAAAGACCTAAAAAGAACTCATATGCATGATCAGTTTCCCCAGATTTACTGATACCATCAATCAGACAATTACATGTAACAATATTAGGAACAACACCATCACCATCAAGATTTTTAAATAACTTTAGCACTTCATCAAGTCTTATGTTCTTACAAAGTGCATCTAATATAGTATTGTAACTCAGAATATCTGGATTTAAACCATGAGATTTCATTTCAACAGGAAGCATAAGTGCCTTATCAAGTCTGTCCACATGAAATAAACCACCAATGAGTATATTGTATGTTATAAGATTAGGATCAATACCTTTCTTGGACATTGCTTGAAAAACATTCAAGGGTTCATCAATTCTTTCGGTTTCAGAGTACCCATTGTTTAAGATATTGTAACTGATACTTAAGTCATCTATTTGGATCCAATGTTAATGAGTAGAAACTAAGACAGTTTACTGGTCTTCAACTTGACGCCATCCATTCTTCTCCAAACCCACACAATGTTGAAAATAACTTACAAAATGAAAAAAAAGAACAAGAGTAAATTAAACCTCAAAATCAAAGATACATATTTGGATCAATACACTCGTTTAAGATCATCCCACAACTGAGGGTATATGGGACAAATCGTTATTGAAAATCTCAACCCAATAAATCCAATGGCACTTTCATGTATAAACAAAGATGATTGGTAATTATATACCAAACTAATAGAAAGCGAATGATAATGAAGCGTGAAAACATCATAGCAAAACAAACCTCCATCTAACAATCAAAGCCAATTTGCAAGTAGTTACTTCATATTAGCCACCAATGACCTAAATCCAGACAATCGATACAAATTTCAGGAACATTGAGATGATAGTTGAGGAGAATTTACCAACCTTGTAACACCCTATTTGAAATTACTTGGTTGGGGCCTCGGAAACCAAACGGGTAGGGGCGATTCGGTCTTTTATGGGTCCCGGGATTTATCCGAAAGGTTTTAGGCTTGGAGGTATCGAGGGGAGTGTAGGTCTTCCCGCCACCTTTTCATGGAGATACAGTTCGTCATAAACGGACTTGGAATAAAGGAGTTATGACACTTTGTATTTATTGTCGATTTTACCTAATGGAAAATTAGTCACAAGATGACCCAATGCATGCAACGTGGCCAGCTTGAGAGTACGCCCAACATAGATGGAGTAAATGGTGGAGGGTGATTGGAGACGTACGCCCAGCGTACTAGAAGTACGCCCAACGTAAGCCCAGAGTCACGAAACCCTAAATTTTAGGGTGTAACACTATATAAAGAACATTACACACTCTAGGGTCAACCGCCTTCTCATCCTTAAACCACTTTTAGAAACCCTAACCCTAATAGTGAGAGTGTAAGCTTCTAAGTCCATCTTGGAGTGAATTTTGGTGTTCTTGAAGAGGAGTGATCATCTTGAATTTCATTGACCAGGGAAGAGCTTTTGGATCCAGGTTCTCCAGCTCATTTGCAAGTCTCAAAAGGTATAAACTTTCTACCTTGTTATCTTATAGCTTGAGATCTAGATTAGTGCTTGTTTGGTGTTCTTATGAGCTTTTGGACTGTCTCTTGGGAGTTGAGAAACTCTAGAGATTAGAGAGAATAGATCTGAGGTCCTTTGGTCTATCTACTTCATAAAAATGCAATCTTGATGAGTATTCTAACCTCATGCATGGATCAAGACCCTTGGAAAGGTCTTAATGGGTTGTTGAGAGCATATGGAGCATGCATGTGATATCCCCATTTTCACTGCCAGAAAAGACCAATTTTGTTTATGCTTTATAAAAATCAAAGTACCTCTTTTAATAAAAATGTCGTAGAATTTGTTCCTAGTAAAACAAGATAAATACGTTATCAAGGTATTTCCGAAGAAAAGTATTTTTATTCATTTTAAAACATTTGGGATGTCATTGTCAATACAGAAACATAAGCATAAACAGAACTTACATTCATTATCACTAGTGATTTATATCTCCTTAGTTTCTCAATGTAATGTGACTTCATATAAACACATGTGATATAAATAAAGTGAGTGGGTCAGGTTGGGAAAGCTGGTGAGTACATAGGGTTTTCAACCCACAATAATATAATTATTATGTTTAATCTTCAAACAATTAATCAACCCATTTACCCATCCCCATTATATTCTTTACTCTTAAGGATCTACCCTAAAAATCAGTTATTCTTCATTAATTTATTCCTAAGGATTATCCTAAGGAATTGGTACGAAGTCCATCGTCATCGGGTTTAGGCACTAAGTTTGCAAAGTCGCCAGGGTCTATACAACAGACACTAATTCCGTATAGTCGCCAGGGTTTAGGTACTAAGTCTGCATAGCCACCAGGGCTTAGGCATCAAGTATGCATGATCTCCAAGGTTTAGGCACTAAGTCTGCATAGCCGCCAAGGTTTAGAGTACACCAGGTGAACACATTGTTCACAACACCTACAGGTTGCGAGCCTGCTAGTGTTCCACTACACTGTCTTGAATAGTCTGTGGTTGTCATCCATATTCTGCTATATGATGGGTCCATCATTTGGGTAAAAGGCTTCTCTTATTATTCACCTCTCACCCTTATCTCATGGTCTATATCACCTCTCATCTCACCATCTGACTCATATTTCATCTACCCATGTTTTACCCAACATATTTTGTAGAATAAAATACATATACAGTTTAATTCATTTGAAGCATGTATAAAATCATTCATCCTACATAGACAGTAAGTATTCAGATAATATGCACACATAACACGTAATTTATGTAAAATACTTCGTATCTATGTGTAAGATGAAAGTAACTATGCACTCACTTGGTAAGGTGGTGATTCTGAACTCATACAATGCTTCGTTACTCTTAAAACAATTTCCTTCAAGAAAACAGCGGATTCTTATTAGAAAATCGGGCTTCGCTGGAGCAGCGTTTCCGAGCCGAAAGCTTTTCTTCTCGGAGCCGTCGATCACTTCGGTGCTTCCTTCTCGTGCTAGGGAGGTTTCCTAGACTTGTAGGGGTTTAGGGAGGCTAGACAGAAGTTAGAGAGAGAAAGAAAGGCTTATGGTGTGAAGAAAATATGAAGGATTCATCCTTTATTTATAGGGATTTTATCGTAGAGTAGCCCCTAACCTCCGTCCGTATCTTCTACTTACGAGCTCCATTTTCTATGTTATTTATATCCACGCATTGGTATTTATGAGTTCTACAACTTTCATTTAGACCCCATCGGCTAAATCTCATTGTATCTCAGATTTACAAAACTGTATTCGAATTCGTCGCGCTTGAAGAGTAGAGACTAAGTTTTGTCCATATCTTTAACATACGAGCTCGATTATCGATGTTATTTATACACACATGTTGGTATTTACAATTACTAAAACTTTCATTTAGATCCCGTTGGCTAATTCTCATTCTATCTTAGATTTACAAAACTGTATCGAATTCGTCGCGCTCGAAAAGTAAGGACTAAGCTTCGTCCATATCTTTCGCATACGAGCTCCGTTTTTAGACTGTCTTTTTTTTGTTTAACTCCTATTAACAATATCTTCATTTCTCGTTTAGATTATTTTGGCTAAAAATCGACCGATCTAAAATTCGAATTTTCAAGTTGTGCACTGTTATGCTAAATCTTAGAAAAATCGTAACTTCCTCAAACGAAGTCAAATTTGGACGTTCTTTTTATGCACGCTATTGGTTTAACATATACTATGAATTTCTTTTAGATTGCTAATGCTAGAAATTATTTTATTGTAAATTTACTTTTTACGATTCCTGGTGTCGTGTCGGTTTTGCCGTAAACTTCGGTGGGTCATAACTTCTTCATTATAACTCGGATTTCGGCGTTCTTTATATCTATGGAACCCTTGTAACATATACTACCACTTGGAAAAGATTAATACTTCTAAATAATCTTCCATCAAAAACTCATTTTTGATGCTAATTTTCTCGAAATTGACTAGCCCGGATCTGCGAGCGTTACAATTATCTCCCCATTAAGATGATTACATTATAGAATCATCAACGAAACAGGGAAGTATAATGACTCCATACATTATCTCTTCATCCTAGGTAATAATTGTAACTTCGTTGTTCCTTCGAATGAGTATCTAACTCTCGGACTCCTTGATTGCAGGCGGTGCTCGATCTTGCACTTGCTCCCTATCTCACGTTAGACTCAAAATTATGACCTTCAAGTCACAATCTCGATCCTCACTGGATACGAACTTAAGATAAGTTCTTTCATTATTATAATGGAACAATGTGTCACATTCTAATGACCAATCATCGTATGTTGCAACGCTTAGACTCAGGTCTCTTAGAGTCTTCCAGAACAGACTATACTTTCCTTCATGTTCTAATCTCATCTTAAAAGGTAGCATTTCTAGCTACAAACAACTTTTTTCGATACCTCTACTGATCGTTTTGATTATCTTTTATTTCAATCTTTCGTCTTAAGTCAGATGCTACATCGAACTTGGTTCTTTGAACCACATAACATACTCAGCGTAGTCAGACTCAATTTGATATGATCACTAGGGTTGGAATAACAATCATCTTCTTAGTCATTACCGAAATGATGGTAACGATATACTTGAATAAAACGGAATCAATTAATAGCTTCTTGGTAACCTTTTGACTTTCCCTAATCTAAGCGTGAGTCTTGTGCTTCCGGTAGTATAGGCCTATACTACCTTTCACACCTACACATACTCGTCCCAAGTATTGTCTCGTAGTTCTCCAAGTTATTATCATAAAAACAGTTTTAACACATACAAATGTGTCCAAACAATCATACAAATTTCTCTAGACTCTACTAGGACTTCTTCCATACGTATCTCCAATCATCAATTCTTCTTCAACTTAGTTGGTGATGGAAATGTTAGACGATAGGATAACTTCATGGATTATACCAAAAATCTTTCTTTCTGCTAATTGAAAGTGTACTTATCCCATACTAGACGTATTATTCATTAGACGCATTCTAAAGTCAAGATATCATTCTTACGATATCTTTTGATAGGTACTATTCAGTATCATAAGCCCTCTCATATCCTCCAATTACTCAATTCACTACAAGTCTTCACCATGATGTTCTGCACACCAAAGTAGTCGTTTGGTTTATCGAGACGAGAATAAAGATAGAGGAAGGTTTAGACACGTATTCCTCCTTATTACCTCGAAAAATTACATGCCAGTTATAATATCGTAATTAAACATTTAGAAATCTAAACACATAAAGTTTCTAGATCCGGTCGGCAACAGACCATAGATCTGATCAAACGATAGCATAAAGCATCACAAATTATTAAGGACATAAAA